AGAAATGAACCCACCATGATATGGTCCATTAATCTACAATGCAGGAGACAAGAATACACATTGGAGAAAAGACATCTCTTCAACAAATGGTGCTGGGAAAACTGGATAGCTACATGCAAAAGAAAGAAAGTGGACCACTTTCTGACACCATACACAAAAACAAACTCAGATTGGATTAAAGACCTAAATGTAAGACCTGAAACCATAAGACTCCTAAAAGAAGACACAGGCAGTAGATTCTTGGGTGTCAGCATTAGCAATATTTTTTTTGGATCTGTCTTCTCAGGCAAGGGCAGCAAAAGCAAAAATTAATTGGCACTATAACAAACTAAAAACCTTTTGCACAGCAAAAACAAAAACAAAAACCCAACAAAATAAAAAGACAACTTAGTGAATGAGAGAAGATATTATTCACAAATGATATATCTAATAAGGGGTAAATATCCAAAGCATATAAAGAATGCATACAACTCAACACCAAAAAACAAAGAATCCAATTTAAAAATAGAGGGCTTGAATAGACATTTTTCCAAAGAGAACATACAGATGACCAACAGACACATGAAAAAATGCTCAACACCACTAATCATCAGGGAAATACAAATCAAAACCACAATAAGATAACACCTCACACCAGTCAGAATGACTAGTACCAAAAAGACAAGAAATAACAAGTGTTGGTGGGGATGTGGAGATAAGGAAACCCTTGTGCCTTGTTGGTGGGAATGTAAATTGGTGCAGCCACTATAGAAAACAGTATGTAGGGTCCTCAAAAAATTAAAAATAGAAATATCATATGATCCAGCAATTCCAGTTCTGGATATTTATTTAAAGAAAACAAAAACACTAATTTGAAAAGGTATATGCACCCCTGTGTTCACTGCAGCATTATTTACAATAGCCAAGATATGGAAGCGACCTGTGTCCATATATAGATATATAGGTAAAGAAAATGTGATCTATATGTGTACACACACACACACACACATAATCACACACAGAAATATTACTCAGCCATAAAAAAAAAATGAAATCTTGCCGTGTGTGACATGGATGGACGTAGAGGGTATTACGTTAAGTGAAAGTGAAATAAGTCAGACAAAGACAGATACTATATAATTTCACTTATATGTAGAATCTAAAATCCAAATAATTAAACAAAAAAAACAAAAACAGACTCTAAATACAGAGAATCAACTAGTAGTTGCCAGAGGGAGAGGGTGGAGAAAGGGGTGAAATCAGTGAAGGGGATTAAGAGGTATAAACTTCCAACTATAAAATAAATAAGTCACGGGTATGTAAAGTTCAGCACAGAGAATATAAGTCAATAATACTGGCATAACTTTGCATGGTGATAGAAGGTAACTACACTTACATGGTGAGCATTGCATAATGTATATAAATTTCAATCACTAGGTTGTACACCTGAAACTAATATCATATTGTATGTCAACTATACTTCAATTTTAAAAAATGACTCCCTCTTCTATAGGGTTTTACTGAGACTAAACTCGCTCGCAAAGTGCTTAGCAGAGTGCTTGCCCCATCGGAAAGGATAGACATCAGCTATGGGTAGTGGTTTTATTTTCCTTGAATTGCTTAGACCAGCTCTCTTTATTTATCAGATTTGGGAACCCAACATGTGCGAAACAGTTACTACATCCTATTTGCTACCACCTGAATTTATCATTGCCGTCTCTAGCTGGTTGCGTGGGGACCCACGGTCCAAGTGAAGTGAAGCAGCGTGGGGACCCACGGTCCAAGTGAAGTGAAGCAGTGCCAGGCTGGGGGTTCAACCTTCAGAGATCAGGCTGCTCTCGGGTGTCATGAAGCTGCAGATGCTACTGCAGAGGCCCGAGCACCACAGGCTTTCCAGGCCCACCCTAATCTTCTCTTGCATAAGGACATCCCCCCTCCATCCCTCCCTCCCTGATCTTTAGGTTGAGCGGGCATTACTTTAACGAACTCAAAAAATATACCAAAAAAAAAAAAAAAAGGTATAAAGAAAAGAGTAAAAATCTCCTGAATCTCATCATCCAGAGAAAACACTATTATCCTTCCAGGCTTTTCTCTGTACACACATATCCTATACACACAACTTTATAAGAAGTGTGATCGCACAATCCTGGATGCTGCATGCCTGTTTTTGTTCTCAAAAATATCTTTCTAATGCATTCAATAGAGATCTACGTGTTCATTCTTAGCAGGGCTCTAACCTTAAGCCATGCGTTCTGCACGCACACAAAGTGGTAGTAAAAAGTGGTTCACAAAAGAAAATATTAACATCTGCCTTTAAAAAATGACTTAGATTAAAAATGAAGGTGAGCTGTGAGGTTAAAGTGGATTTTAAAAACAAGTAAAAAATTAGAGGCATGTTGGTTCTTTTTTATGAAAATGTTGGCAAGAAGGAAGCCCTGGGCACACACCCCGTTCCCTAAATGGCTATTACTTGTGGAATGTGAAACTCGTGGAATGAACTTTTAATAAAATGAGAACTCGCCTGTAAACCTCAGTACATTTTCAGGGTTTAAAAACCTTATTTTATCTAGATCACAGCTCTTTCGATCTTGGCATCAGAAAGTTATTTCTGAATGCTAAACAAATATGAAAACGGTGGGTCTGCCCTCAGTCTTGCTTTCCCGTGCCAGGCTGGGGGCTCATTCTAGAGGCCACACACGTGTGAGTCCATCTCCTCTGGATGCCACCATGTCCCTGGAGACCCCAGAGGTCTATACACCAAACTAACCAAGACCCCACTTCGGGGGACATTCAAGGGATCTTTATCTGGAAGTCTGACTTTATCACTTCTGGGATTCATTTCCACCCTGGCAGAAGTAATAAGCATGGATGAAAAGATGTTAACATACCAACATTATTTTTACTCATTTTTGTATTCTTATTTTGGCTACTGCTTAGAAAGTCAAAAGAGTGTTTTTGCTACCCCACTCCTAGATAATGAAAATACAGTTATAGTAAAAGAATCTGTCTCATTCTGCTGGTTGACAATTTTGAACTTGGAATAGAATTGATAAAAATGCATTCAGTCTGAAAGTGGTCTAAAATGATCTGATACGACCTGATCGTTTCTGGGTGTCACAGGGAGCTTTGGCTGGGGGGAGGGGAAGAGAGAGGGTGAAGACCAGACCACAGGGGCAGAGGGAGACAGAAGCAGGGCAAGCTCCACAGGGGGAAGGGGAGAAAGTCCAGCAAACACAGAATCCAGGCACCAAGGATACTAGTAAAGAGGCAGGCAGGATGGCCAACTCAGCAAGAGCAAGGACCCTAGGCAGATTAAGGACGTGGTCCCAAGCCAGTCACCAAGGATTGAGTTCAAGAAGGCAAGTTTATATAAAGTGGGCCTGGGTCTCCTCACTAGGTAAAACCCCATTTATCAAGCCCAAAACCCCAAATACTATCCCAACATGCCACTGAGAGACACAGCTGATGTGTCCCACAGAGCCAACCTCACCCCCTTTTCCTGCAGACCAGAGAGGGTAGGGAAGGTTCACTTGGCCCCACTTGGGAGAGAAGTATAGTTAGTGGTGCCGGAACCTAGCAGGCCATCCACACCATTCTTCTCCCTCACCCCCACTCATCTTCCCTTCCAGGCAGGTTATTGACCAAAGAAAATTTGTTTTCACTGTTAGAAGAGTTACAAGAGTGAGTCACCATTACATTAATAAGTAGCCTTTATATAATAAGCCATACCACTCTCTCTAGGCTATCAGCAGTAAAAACAACACAGAAACTGTCCAGGGACATTGTTTTCTTTAGATTCATGGCCTTTAAAGCAATGGTTCGCAAACATGGTCCCGAGAACAGCACCATCAGCATCACTTGGGAGCTTGTTAAAAACGCAAGTTCACAGGTTCTACCCCAGACCTACAGAATCAAGACACTCAGGGGTCTGGGCCCAGCCATCCGTATTTTAATAAGCCTCCAGGAAACCCTGATGCAAGCTCAAGTTTGAGAACACTGGCCGAGTGGAAGGAACCTGGGCTGGGAGCCAGGAGACCTAATTCAGATTCCAGCTCTGGATTCCATGGTCCAATTCAGTGAAATTTAATGAATAGTCACGATGTGCTCCTGCAAGGATGTGAGGATGCCAAGTGGAGCTAGACATGGTTCTTATCCGTGGATGGTATCAAACTTCCATATTCTTTTGTTCCTTCAGGATAGGGGTTATTTTGTTCTGTTGCTCTTGTTTTGTTTCCTATTTGTATTCCCAGTGCTCATGGCATCACACGCACCCAATATATGTGCAGTGGGCCAAGTGGTAGTGAAACAACTGTGATAAATACTACTGCACCATTCATCAATAATTTTAATGTTCCTCCAGTCTAGTTAACACGAGCCACTGTTTATTTAACGCTTGTTGCACGCCAGGTGCTGAATGTCATATATCAGTGCATTTGATCCTTTTAGATGTCCTGTGGGTGGTACTGCTAATCCCACTTTGCACATCAAAAAACTGAGGCTCGTAGTATTAAGGAATTTGTCCAACGTCATACAGTGAAAGTGGTAGAGCCAGTGATGTACCCAGAAATAACTTTATTCCGAAGCTCATAGTCCTATAAAATAGTAGAGTACGTCTTCAAATCTCACAAGCTCAAAAGCCGACTGTGGGGTAAATTTCCAGCATCTAAGGTGAGTGGGTGCTTAAAACTCTACTTTGCAGGTCATCATCTTAAGTGGTCCAAGACTGTCTTTATTTTTCTCGTTTTGTGGTATATTGACATTTGGTGTTCATTGAGCATAAGAGAGTAAATAGTGGTGGAGAACTACACTAGTATGTCACTGGACTATTCTGACCCTTAAAAATCAGGCCAAAACTGTTTATAGGTTTTTCTCCTCACTCTAAGTCAAAGAAGAACTTGACATCTGTCATCTACTATTTTCCTCTCAACAACTCAGGGCCAGGAGGCTCCGGTTGGGGTTGTTGGAGGCTGTAGGGACTGAGAAAAGAAAAGGGGGATTTATGCCACAGGCAAAGACCTTACCTTACTAGGAGGTGGTCCATGATCATCCAAGTAAGTGGAATTTCCTAGGGAAAAAAAAGAAGAAAGTTGATGAATCAATACTTTTAAAACCAAAGTGATTTTAGTGCAAAGTCATTGAAAACAAGCATCCTAGGTATATCTCTATTTAGACAACTGTACCAAAGAAAAATGGGTAATTAATTGCCAGTTTGCTGGGATTTTGTTGATATTGCCATGCTCGATTATAGTTTCAGCAGTTACAAACACTACATACGTTGGTGTGTGTGCACACATACGCACGCAGAAATACGCACCACTATCGTTCACCCAGTATCTGTTGAGCTTACTTTAGACCAGTGGTTCTCAAACCTCAGCGTGCATCAGAATTACCTGTAGAGCTTATGGAAACACAGATTGCCTGGGTCCACAGTGTCTCTGAGAATTTGCATCTCACAACTTCCCAGGTGATGCTGATGCTTCAGGTCCTGGAACCATACTTTGAGAACCACTGCACTATTCTCCACTTTGTCTTGACTGTTGATTTCCCTTGGTCTTTTCAGTCTCGCTTGCGTTGGAAGCTTGATCTGTCTTTATGAATAGCCACTTACTGGCTTGCGTATTTTCAGAGTACATGATTATTGTTGCCTGATGAAATAAAGACTCAGAGGGGTCAGGATGGAAACTAAAGGTCACTGAGTTCCTTTTATGTAGCAAGGTACTCTGCTCAGCGCTTTCCAGGTTTTCACTTAATTCAAATATCCGAGGTGGGTTATAATTATCCTCACTTACAGAGAAGGGAATAGAAGTCTAGAGAAATCCAGTAATTTGCTCAGGGTCACACCCTGTTAAACTGCAGAAAAGACAGAAGACTATTTTTTCCAGAGTGTGCTTGGGCATCTGCTGCTCATCTGAAAAGCCTACCTACCGGCTTTTGCAGATCCCGGATACCGACAACACAGCCCAGGCCCTGACCCCGCAACTCAGGCACCGACCTAGCAACACCTGTGGGCAGAGCGGGGAGCCAGTGATGAGCTCAGTATATTCAGAGGCTCCCCTCCAGGTAGATAACACTTGTCAGTCAGGGGAAATCATCTTCACAAAAACTGAAGACAACTAACCTTTCTAATACAACAAAATAAGGACAATATTGGAAACATAAGGATACCTAGAGAGAACAGTGGCTTAAGGAACAAGGTACATGTCCCAGTTGAAGTAGACGAAAGGTGCTTTTTTAGGAGAATGCAAAAGTGACTTAGGAAATTGAAATAAAAAGAAGCACGGGGCACCTGGCTGGCTCAGTCAGAAGAGCATGCAACTCTTGATCTCAGGGTCATGAGTTCGAGCCCCACGTTGGGTGCAGAGATTAAATATATTAATAAACTTTTTTTCAAAAGGGAGAAGTAGAACTTAAGACAGAGACAGTTCAAATGGGGAAACTTATCCAAAACATAACAAATAAGTGGGTTTGGGCTTATAGGGTTTTTTCCTTCTTCCATACTGGGGCATCAGCCATCCCTTCTTCTTTGTAGTCTTCTGATCTGTATCACCCACTTGATGTCCACAATGATTGTACCGTAACGGGCTAGTTGTATATAGTTAAGGGACAACAGGGCCCAATTTTTATGTATAAGACACACAAACACCTGGCATGTGCATGATTGGGTTATTTTCAGGAAACCTCGAAATGTGAATATGCATAATGATCTTAATTATTGTGCTGCACTCCACTGAGAACACACAGAAACAGGAAGTGAGATCTTTATCTGACTTAATAAAGAGGATGTGTATGAAAGAATCCAGAAAAATGACCGCCGTGGTCTAGAGAAATATTCAGAGCTAATATTCAGAGCTACCGCTACATAATATAGTCAGTAGAGCTACAGGAGGTTCTCATCATCTCATCCTGTGAGTGTGTCCTCCCAGGAGGGATGAGAGAAATCCCATCAAACTGCAGCAAACTGCATGTTCTCCAGGTATCAGTCTCAGGGATCAAAGACAGCTCAAACATCTAAGTGTTTCTAAAATACTAGAAGTTTCCATAAGAAACAAACTTCCTAAAAATGAATGACTTGAATGTCTGACTGCTCCCTCACACTCCAGACTCGGCTACCCATTGACTCCTTAGCACGTCGGCCTGGATGTCTACGGGCATCTCACACTTTGCCAGTCCAAACACAACTCTTTATTTGCTGCAATTCCCCACTCCCCCCTCCACCACAAATTGGCACCTCCTATCCTCCTTATGTGGTCACACAACACATCCCTTCCCCTATGGGCTCCAAAGCCCAAGAATCATTCTTTTTTTTTTTTTTTTTTTGAGGCATCTGAATATAAACTTTAATGGGAGAGAATTTGACATTTAGAAGTTTACAAAGAAAATTCATCACAAACATTGTGTTAAAGCCCATTGATAAGCAATTATTTTTAGACCATTGTTTTCCATTCCCTGTTTTCTATATTTCATGCCAGTTTTTTTTTTTTATTCTTATGTTAATCCCCACCAAGAATCATTCTTGATCCATCTCTTTCCCTTACCCAATCTGTACCAACCGTAGTCACAAGTCCCATTGGCTCAGCCTTCAAAACATTACTCAAATCTGATCACTTCCCACCAGCCCCTCTGGGCTATCTGGGAGAACCCTTGTGTCTTTTCACTGATTGCAAATTTTCTCCTCTACCCATACAGCACCCAGAAGATCTTTTAATCTTACCCATCAGGCCATGTCAGCCCTCTGTTAAAACCTATTTCTCTAATAACAAAATAGTCAACTCTTTCCATGGTCTATACCCCCACATGACCCAGGCCCTGCCCTCCAAACACACCCACCGCCAGCCACAACAGCCTTCTCTCGGCTCCACAACACACCGACCTGTTGTTAGCTAGGGACCTTCTCAAATAGTTCTTTCCTCTGCCAGAAAAAGCTCTTCCCCACCACCATCATTGAGGCTTAGCGCAAATATCCTTCCTTTCTTCCTTCTCCCATCCTTCCCTTCTTCCTTCCCTCCTCCCTTCCCCCTCCCTTACAGAAGACCTCACTTCTTTCCTTCGGCACAGAGAAAGGAAGAGGGCTGACCCCTGTTGGTCTGTGTGCCATGGACCTGTTGTCTCCACCAGCAGATCCCAAGTGCCCACCCACAGGTAGGTTTATTAGAACACAGAGGCTGTAAATGGTTGTGCTTTTAACAGAGGTACAGAAAGGGAAAAGAAAAGCTACACACATTTCCTTAGTTGGAGACAGCAGGTTTTTATTCTCGGGTCTAACTCTATTATTCTCTGGTATATAGATAGAGCTTTTCATCCTAGGATCTTGTGCTTTCATACTGCAAAGTAAACAAAACCGTCAGAATCTTCAGACCTGAAGCTGGTAACCTGTTGTCTGTGGAGATCAAAGGAGAAGCCCTGTTATCCAAGCGCGCCTCTCTGAACCGGCTTCCAGGCACCAGAGGGACTCTTGCTGCTCGCCTCGTGGGGGACTAAATGGAGGGTGTCGAGGTGGGGAAGGAAGTCAAACAAAAGTCCTCCAGGCCTTTGGGCTTGGAGTTCAAGATGTAAATTCAGGAAGAAAAGATAGAGGAGGGCTGCTGAAGGTTCTAGAGCCAGCAGAGAGGACAAGCACTTACTTGCCACCCAACTCCACTTGCCCTGGGAACCCCAGTTTCTGATCCTGGGTGGCAGGACCCTGTGAGGCAGTACCTTTTCTTTTTGGGGGGGCTAATAGGGGCATATCATTTCATTTCTTTCCAGAAAGTAACCCACATCTTCAGAGCTCTGACTCCAGCCTCTTTTTCATGTCTTAAGTCTTTTCTTTGAGGATCAAGGGTTACGGTATCTAGTCAAACTCGGAAAAAAGGAAAGGCACACCCCACATGTAGAAAGATCTATCTCCAAACTGCCAAGAAATCGCTAAGTCAGGGTGGCATTGAGCTAAGCCTCTTACAGAAAGTCAAGCTTGTCCAGGCTGCTGAGGTAGGGGGAGGACTCGGGAGGGACTATTTGAGGCCACACTCTGGGCCTTTGAACTCCATGTTCAAAGGCTGGTCTACATCCTGATGGTGGTCATGGTTACATGGCTCTGTATGTGGGTTAAAATTTATAGAACTATACACCAAAACCAACACCAACAAAATCCTCACGGTTTAATGGTTTCTTAAATGTCCTGACTAGAAAGCAGGTGATCTGAGACTTTGCAACCAGTTAAATTACAACACGTTCTAAATCTCACCCTATGCATCTAGCCCTTCATGATGGAGACCTCCCTGGGAGGTGGTAAATATAACATGGGAGATCGTGCGCAAAGGTGTTAAATCTAAGTACATGGGAGTTACAATTTGCACACTCACTAAAGCATGTATGTATGGCCAGAGTCTTTGCAGGGCTGTATGCCATCAACGTCTACCTACTTCTGCCATCATACAAACTATCTGCAGCGAAGAAGCATTTTAGAAAACTCATGTGAAGTCTAATCCTAAAAATCAGGAGGCCAGGGGTTGTGATCGGGAATCTGAAGATGCCTGACTGGTTATAATCTTATAGCTGGGTTTCAGTGGGCAGAGCCAAGGCACGCTGACCATACAGGAGCAATCCAAGTCTTCCATGATACAACAAATGATACGAACAGCCACATACAATGTATACCTACAGAAACAGGCTTCATCTCACTTTATAATAGAGACTGTCCCCAACAAGCTTTGTTCAACTCTGAATAAATTGCTTTGTCTCCTCAAAGCTGTCCACGTGCACATCTATTAAAATGAAAGAAGCTTCCGAGTTACCGTGAGGAGTGGGCAAGGATAATTTCATTCTATGAAAAATCCGCAGAGCACTAGCTGCACCCAGTAAGCAGCTAGTCGTTTGCTAGCAGCACTAGTCATACTACCAGCTGTACTAGCTGTATGACCAGCAGGACTAGTAGCAGGTGCAAAACCCTCCTTCACGGTCTCTCCATCTGCCCGCTCACTTGTTTCCAACCCCCACTGCACATTCCACTTGCCTGCAATGATTTTTAAGAATGTGGATGCCAGGCTCCAACCTTAGCTACTCTGATTTTAATTTGAAACAAGTCAC